GGGGACCCCGCCCCGCCCCGCCCCGCCCCGCCCCGCCCCTGCGGAGCGGCCGAGGCCAGACTTGGGCGGCCTCGCTTACCTCCTGCCTCGGCCGGGCCTCGGGCACCTCGGGGCCTCCCCCCTCGCACACACATGCACACACAGATACACACACAGACATACACGTAGACATACACACACACAGATGCACGCACCGCACACAGACATACACACATACAGACACGCATCCATCAACACACACACATCCATACGCATATGCATACAGATACACACACACATCCACACACACACAGAGACGCACAAGCATACACACAACCAGACGCACATCCATACATAGACACACTGACACATACATAAACACACACACTTTCACACACACTCACGCGGACACACGCGCACGCACACACACCGGCCGGGGGCTTGGTGCGGGAGGGGGACGAAAGCGGGACGCGGCCCGGAGGAGCCCCCCCCTCCCCCCGGCCGGGCCGGCTGCATTCTCGCCGGAGCCGCTTGGAGGTTCATTAATATCATTAGCATTTAACCCCCTCCCTGCCCCCCTCCCCCTCCCCAGCCCACGGCTGACGTCACACCCCGCCAGGAGTTGGGGGGAAGCGCGGGGAAGCGGCGCGGGCCCGGGGATCCTTTCCCTCTTATACGGCCCGTCCCCGCCGCCGGCGCTGCCTCGCCGCCCCGGCCCGCGCCTACCTCCTCCGGCTCCCGGCGCCGCTGCCAGGCCAGCCCTGCCCTCCCGGAAGGATTCTCCTCTGTGCTTCTTCTCGCTTCTTGTGTTGTTTTCCCTTTGCAGGACCGGCCCGGGGCCCCGCAAACTTTCTCTCGGGCTCCGGGGACATTCCTCCGCGCCCGGGGCGGAGCCGCCGGGATGCGGCGCCCGGCCCCGCGGGGCCGCTTCTAGCCGTTTGGGAAGCACCTGTCAGTGGCAGGAGCCCGGGGCAGGGCCCACTCCCGCGCGGCGAGACTTTGTCCGGAGGTCGCGATCGCGGGGGACTCCAGCATGAGCAAGCCGGCGGGATCAACAAGTGGGTAATACGCGGTGGAGGGGGGCGGGGAGGGGTTGCAAAGCCTCGTTTCGTGTCATCCGCGACGCTGCCCGCGCGCTGCC